GCGGTCACTTTCAGCAGCGGCTGAATCTGGACGCCAGTTCCGACTTACATACAGATTCAACTTAAGAACAAACCTACAGTCCCTATCTTGTACGTAACCCGGGGACTGCCTGTATTAACATCTGAAGAGCTGAATGCAGCTCCAGAACCACAGGTTGGCTACCCCGATCTAAAGTTTTGCTGACCTGTTTATCTTCCCCTCCCCTCCCTCTGAGCTCCTTGGGATTTAATCCATTAACATGGCAAAGAGATTCACTCTGTCCAGAAAGTTTACAATCTATGTAAAGAATCTTATTTTAATACTTTCATTTTCACTCTGGTGTCTTAACCAGGACATCTGGTATTTTGTTAAATGCCAGACAGCACTGGGCTGTTTTTGATGGGGAGGGGAAGCAGGAAGGGAAGGGACTGCAAAAGAAATAAAAGGAGAAGTAAACATGAAAGGGAAGCATACAAACAGAAAAGAAAGAGGATGAAGCAGGCAACCAAAAAGGGAGAGGAAATAGAAAAATGTGTAAGAGAAATGCAAATTCCATATAGATTGTCCTGGTAGTTTAGTGATAAAGTGTACTTGGAATGACCTTCCCTCTCTCATCTGGCTGAAGATGGGAATGTTGCAGAGGCAGCACCTTAGAGTAAAGGCTGTTTGTATGGTTCTTCAGCAGCCCCTTGTGGCTGACTGAAGAAAATTTGTATGCAGTGTTGTAGGCATGCTGGTCCCACGGTATAAGAGACAAGATAGGTGAAGTAATAGTTTTTATTACTCCAACTTCTGTTGGTAAGAAAGACATGTTTGAGCTTAAACACAGCTCTTTTTCAGAAGAAAGTTTGACAGGCTTGAGGGGCAGCTGTTTTCACTAGAGATTTCTTGCCAGCATGGCAGTTGCTGGTTTATTTTAAACAGCACACTTATTTTGAAATAAGCTATTTCAGAATTTTTTTTTACAAAATAGCACATCTACACTACAGGGAAGCCTCAGAATTAGTCTAAATCAGGCATCCCTAATGTGGAAATGCTACCTTGATTTAGAGGCCCAGGAGGTACAGGGGAGTAATTATTTTGAATGGCCCTATGGAGGAGCTATTTCAAAATAGCAGTGAAACATTATTCCTCGTGGAATGAGGTTTATAAGATTTTGAAATAACAGAATTGCTGTCTAGACACTAGGGCTGTGTCTACACTGGGCCACTTATTCCGGAAAATCAGCCGCTTTTCCAGAATAAGCTGCGAACTGTCTACACTGGCCCTTTTGCACAAAAGCTTTTGCGCAAAAGGACTTTTGCCCGAACGGGAGCAGCATAGTATTTCCGCAAGAAGCACTGATTTCTTACATGAGATCGTCAGTGTTCTTGCGGAAATTCAAGCGGCAAGTGTAGACAGCTGGCAAGTTTTTCCACAAAAGCAGCTGCTTTTGCAGAAAAACTTGCCAGTCTAGACACAGCCCTAGGCTGTGTCTACACTGGGCCACTTATTCCGGAAAATCAGCCGCTTTTCCAGAATAAGCTGCGAACTGTCTACACTGGCCCTTTTGCACAAAAGCTTTTGCGCAAAAGGACTTTTGCCCGAACGGGAGCAGCATAGTATTTCCGCAAGAAGCACTGATTTCTTACATGAGATCGTCAGTGTTCTTGCGGAAATTCAAGCGGCAAGTGTAGACAGCTGGCAAGTTTTTCCACAAAAGCAGCTGCTTTTGCAGAAAAACTTGCCAGTCTAGACACAGCCCTAGGCTGTGTCTACACTGGGCCACTTATTCCGGAAAATCAGCCGCTTTTCCAGAATAAGCTGCGAACTGTCTACACTGGCCCTTTTGCACAAAAGCTTTTGCGCAAAAGGACTTTTGCCCGAACGGGAGCAGCATAGTATTTCCGCAAGAAGCACTGATTTCTTACATGAGATCGTCAGTGTTCTTGCGGAAATTCAAGCGGCAAGTGTAGACAGCTGGCAAGTTTTTCCACAAAAGCAGCTGCTTTTGCAGAAAAACTTGCCAGTCTAGACACAGCCTAGCATTATTATTTCAAAATAACTGATGTTATTTTGAAGTAAGTGCTGTGTCGACTCACCCTGACCGACCAGTGTGGACTCACAGCTAGTAAGGCAGGTGATATTAATCAGTTGTTATCTATTTGCACCTGTTTCAGGGTTACTATCTGAAATATCTCTGGATAGTTTTGGAGTGGCTTTAATAATGTGCAGATCATATAAAGACTGGGGATTTCAATATATCTCTAGTTTTGTGTTCTTTTAGGTAAGTGAGATAGCCTATAATGCAAGGTTCTTGGAGAGGGAGAAAGGAGGAAATTAAAGCTGTTGGAAAGATGTTCCCTCCTTTGCCACCCAAAAGGAATAATATTTAAATAAGAGGATGGAATGAGAGGGAGACACACAAATAGAGACGTATGAAAACAGACAGGAGTGTAAGAAAAATATTAGATATAATAAGTGATCAGAGTAGTAGAGAGTTTGAAATGTGCTGCTTCATTCTAGAATCTAGGGAGAAAAATTTGTGGTTTTGTATAGCACCAGACTAATTGATATTAAAATAACTTGATTTGTGGTTGAAATAAGCGCACACAAAAAGATCACCCCAAAATTTTGTAATTCTGCCTTTTGAAAGCATATTGGAAGACATTCCAGACAAACAAAACTTAATGATTAATCTTGAATGTACAGCAGTTTTCAAGACAGTACCGTGTGCACATGCATATATTAGAGTGAGTACTCCGTTTCTTTTTTTAAGTAAGAGCTAATTTTCTCAGGCGGCAGAGTTTAAATGAATGCTATAGCAACAGTTAAATACAAGAAGAATTATATAACTTTTATTGGTCTTAAATCAGAGTTTAATTGCTTCTGTGTGTTGGTTGTGATTCATGAATGTTAATTTATGAGCTTTTAAAATTTGATCTTTTGTGGTGAATATAAATAGTTCCAGTAGAAGACCTATTATGATTTATTAAAATAGCTGAGGAAGTTTCAGAATTTTTTGGATTACTTTAAAATACAAACAGTACATCATAAGCCTTAGGACAATCTAAAGATAGTAGTTCAGCATCTGTATGATACTTCATATTTTTAAAGTTCAATGATTTAAAAGACCACTAGATAACATTCCCTTTCAAAATAAATCCTGTATTACTATTGAATGGTGGGAGATGCATTTGTGGTAGAGAAAGATAGATGTTTAACTAGAATACAAGTAAGAGACTACTGCAGAGTAACAAAGATATCTATGGTCTGTTCCATGATTCAAAAGGCTGAGACCAAAGAGGAATTTGTTAAAGTCAAAAAGCGAGATTTGGAGAGACTAACAACTGAAGTAATGCAGTTACGAGACTTCCTACCCAGAATACTGAATGGAGAGGTCTTGGAGAGCTTCCAGAAATTGGACGTTATTGAAACCAGTAAGTTGCCCCACATTAGAAGCAATCATAAATACATTCACCACTATTTATAACATATCCCAGTTGTACAAATGAATATAGATTTTTGTTGACACATTCAGCTTTAATATTTTTTCAAAGAACAGTTCCAGTGTTTTTCAAAATTTCAGAATTAACTACACATGTCAATAAAATATTTTAATTTTGTAGAATTAGTTAACTGAAGACAAAACCTTTATTTACACAATATAAGCTGCCATTTTCCTATCAAAAGACAGAAAGGAAGAGAGATTGGGTCAGGAAGAAGCTTATTCTGCATTGAAAACCATGAAAGGAAGCTTGCAAATACAGTACAGGTTGGACCTTCCTGGTCTGGCACCCTTGGGACCTAACTGGTCCCAGCTGAGGGATTTTGCCAGACATGGGGAGGTTGTTTGTGGCCCTCCTGCTGCAAGCCCCATCCCCTGCCCTGCCACCCCACTGGGCTCACCAGCTCCACAGTGCAGCAGCTCCCTCACTTGCCATCCCTTAATCGGTTAACCCATTAAACAATATGTTTATTCAAATAGCCACTTAAATGGGATTTTACATCCCCACAAATCAGGATGTGATGTTGCAGAAATCTGCCTCTCTAATGCTTTTTTCAGGTTGATTCTGTCAGTGCACAGTTCAGACCACTGGCTGAGAAACTTCTAGGCCAACCACTTTCAGGGCATCAAATGCTCAAACTAGTAATCATAGTCTTTCACCAAATCTATCCGTCTCTGAGCTCCAGTTTCAGTCTCCTTCAGGTACTCTAGCATCTTCACCCCCAGCTTTGGCATTGAGTACTGGCCCCTTGGAATGAGTCTCTGAGATTGCTGCACTTTTGCAGACTCTGGCTCAGGCTGCTTCACAGAAATCCCTCTGCTGCCAATGGTTCTCTCCTTCAGACTGAGCTGTCCCTTTTCCCCTCCCCCCTATACACCTTTTATAAGGCTCAAGTGCCAATTAACTTTCAGATCGTTCCCAGTTGCACCAGAAGCAGCTACTTAGGTACACACCTGTTGCATCTGTGCCATAATTAATTGGCTATTGACCCCTTTCCAGCCTGTGATGGGCTTCTACCCCATCATTGCCCAAAACAGCTTAGACTTCATTCAAGCTCAAGTACTAAAGATTCTCAATAATTTCTACAGTTGAAATATTTGTTCCTTCCTTTAGCTCATTCAGTGTCTTCCTGACCGTAATAATGGAGGATCATCCACCAGTGGAGTTGCTCTTAGTTTTTTCTCAACCAGCAATATCCAGGTTTCTCAAGGCCCTTCTATATACTTTAGTGGTCAGAAAATCTATTTTAGAGTGGGACATCATTGTTATTCTCCTAAAACTTATGGAGCTCATCCCTGCATTTGAGCCTCTCTCCTAGTCTGCTCTATCTCACTCTCAAAATAGTTTTTTTGGTAGCCATCACCTTAGCCCAGCAGAGAGAGTGAGCTTCAGGCATGCATGACTGAACTCTCATACATGTTTCACACCATGTGGCACTTGGTCCATTTAAATTAATCTGTTAACTTACCTGTGTTCTTTCCAAAACCAAGGGGAGAAGTACCTGCACAGTCTGGATATATCAGAGAGCTCCAAATACTGAATTGACAGGAATACATTTTTCAGAATGTCTTCTAATCAATTTTTGGCTACACATGGTTGTTTTATTGGAAAGATTATCAAATTGGATAACACAAAATGTCTCAATGGTACCTCCCTTACCAAATACCAATGCTCACGCCAGCAGAACTCAGACATCTTCTGGCTGCTTCTGAAATTTCCAGCAGGGGCGGTCCGTCCATATAGGTGAACTAGGCGATCGCCTAGGGTGGCAACTTAAAATGGGGCGCTAAATGGTGGCGCAATATCATTGAGGGGTTTGGAGATGGGGGCGCCGATTGCATGGTTCGCCTAGGGCGCCAGTCGCTGGCAGCTAGTCTAGGGCCGCCCCTGTGTGCCAGTATCAGAAATCTGCAATCTAGAGGAAATGCTTCATGTTTGTCAAGCATTATTCCAAATGTGTGAGAGCAGTACTCCAATTTCTATTTGACCGACACAGCCGAAACTCCTCACTGATACCATCTGACGAAAACACTGTTTGCCAGTCATTTGCAGTAGGATCCACGAGGACAAGCACACAAAGAAGAAAGAATGGATATTTACCCTGCAGTAACTGGTTTATTGAGATGATATCATGACTTCCTTGCCATTTCTGCTTTTCAGTATCCTCAGCAAGGGAAGTCATGACATCATCTCAAGAAATCTTGGTTACTGCAGGGTAAATATCTAAGGGAACTAAAGCAGGATTGCACCCACTCTGCCCTTAATGGCCTCGAGCAGGGGCACAAGAAGGCACAAGGTACATGTGGGGCCCTAATAATCATGTTCAGTAAACATTCTTAGTTTGTGTGGCAGGTGCACTTACCATAGGTTCTACATTGACTACAACATTTCAAGGAGACACAATTGTGGTAGAGTAAGCAATCATTTGTTCTTTCTGTGTCAGTAAATGGAGCCGCTTTGTTCTTTCTCTATGAACAATGGAAGAACTTACTTGTCTGACCTGAGCACAAGGGGGAATTGTGAGAATGCACTGGAGGAAGTGTTTCAAATTACTTTTTCCCCCCTTTGGAATTTCACAGTTCTTTACCAAATAAAAAAAGTGGGATGCAAGTGACTAGTCAACTACCCGATAAGCACATGCCTTATGCAGTCCTCACTTGTGCCGGTCCCAATTGCTGCGCCTCTCCCTTTGAGATGTATAAGAGCTGCCTTGTACATTTCAGAGGAAGAGAAACAGTGGGGAACCTGCATGAGTGGGGACTGCTTATGTAAAATTTAGATTAATTGGCTAATTGAATGGTCGATGCAAATTTGCATCGACTATTTGATTAGTTGATAAGGGCACCTCCACCTCTGAAGTGTAGCAACAGCTTCAGGGCTGTTGCTACACTTCAAAGGTGAAAATGCTGTGCGGAGCACGGAGCTAGTGGGGGACTCAAGCAGTCCTATGCTGGCCCTATGCTCCCTACGGCTTTTCAAAGCAGCAGCACCGCATGAAGTTGCTACACTTCAAAGGTGAAAATGCTGTGCGGAGCATGGGGCTAGTGGGGGACTCAAGCAGTCCTACGCTGGCCCTATGCTCCCTACGGCTTTTCAAAGCAGCAGCACCGCATGAAGTCCGGGGTCAATGGGGGAGTCCCCAGCTGGCCACGGGCTGCACACAGTGTTTTAAAATGGCAGCACTGCATGGAGCCCAGGGTCTGGCCCTGGCTCCATGTGGCGATGCTGCTTTGAAGCAGTCCCTTCTCTCCCCCTACCCCTTCCTGCCTCTTTCTGATAGACAACTAGTGTGTCGACTATCTGGTAAACATTTGCTTATCAGATAGTCAACTAGTTGTTCACATCCCTATAAATATATGCATAGGATTTATCTAGTTTTCTACAAACATTAGCACATTTGGAGTACTTCAACTACATTTTTTAATTGTTCACATACTTCATATCACATAGATTAAATCAACATTTACTTCTGGTTGGTGTTGATATTTTTCTCATCTTTGCCTACAGTATTTCATTATACCTGCAACTGGAGTTTAGGGCAAAAACTCCAGATGATATGCAGATTATGAAAACTTAAAAAAAAAGTAGAAAATCAATTACATTAAAATAAAGTTAATGTTCTGGGCAAAAGGAAGCTCAATTTCAACATAGCTTACTGTGCCCTGCCATGGTCAAATAAGAGAGATTTGATCATTCACCATGAATTCTCGATTTCCTGATTTAAGTTATAAAATTCATGTTAATTTATTAGATTTTTTGTAATATTTGTTTATTTATGTGACACATGGTTATAGTACCAGTTGGCCACAAGGAGGAGGCCTGACACAACCAAATATTTAAAGCAGATTTTTCATATTGCATTTGGCAGAATATTCATGGTTGGTGTAAGGTAGTTGCTTGTAACTTCTTACTGAATTTGTATAAATTATTTATTGCAGACATGGAGAAAAGAGAACAAGAACTAGAGCATCTGAGATTGGATTGTGAACACTTCAAAGCCCGTCTGGAAACAGCCAAAGCAGATTGCATGAAGGAGAAAAAGGTACATTTGTTCGCAAAAAAAGCTATGATCTGTATGCTTGTGTTTTAGTAAGAAGTGCAGAGAAATACCAGTTTAGCACGTGAACCCTGCAAGATATAATATCTCTTCAGTCAGGGGTGGATATAGGGCAGGGCGAGCGGGGCGGCCACCCCGGGCCCTGTACTTCAAGAAGCCCTGCGCATGCGCGTGGTGCCACTGCGCATGCGCCGTGGCAAAGGGGGGCCCTGCGAAATTGTGCTGCCCTGGGCCCTGAAAAATAGTCATCTGCCCCTGTCTTCAGTATATGTTTTTTCAGCAATCTGGAAAAATGTTGGACATTGAGTTCATATAACTAAATAATATGTAAATTGTGCTCCTGAAAGTTCTAACTTTCATACTTTTTGTACAAAGGATTGTTCTAGAACTGAAATGTCCATATTATAAGAGTAGTAAAATGAAACATGTCTGCAGTACTCATAGTTATTTGAAGCTGAAATCTTAAAAGGAAACAAATTCACTTTTGTGTGTGATTTTCTTTATCTCTTATTATAAATGTCTCTAAAAAACTAATTACATATTATTCCCATAAATGAAGTTGGGGGAAAACTAAATATGTTTGATAATATTGTTCTTAGATTTCTCCCTTTTTCAAACATAAATTAAACTGGAATTGGTATAAAGGGATGCTTTCTCAGCTATAGATGTATATATTGCAGTCTACGCGGGGGTCAAAATAGTTTGATTTTTGTATTGTACATGCTGCAGTTGTTGTTTACAGTGCGATGCATTTAGGTCAGATTTATTCTTAAATATGATTTCCTTTTTTTTAAGATTGTTTGACTTAACATTTGAATCTGGTTTAACCCACGTGATTGAAAATCTACATCCATATGCTCTTTGTCTCAAAATAGAGGAACACGCTGCTTAGGTTTTCTCAAAGCATTTTACAAAATCTTTGCAGATAGTTGACATCAAGAGCTTTTAGGAATTAATCTCTTTAATTTAATATAACATTTCTATAACATGGCCATTTAAAAAGGGAAAACATTTCTCCTGCTGTCATATTATGTACCACTAGTTGGACCTGGGGAAAATTCTAACTCTAGTTGCAGTATTGCATAGAGACATTCTAAAGCAAAGTACAGTGCTTGACCACCAGACAGTGACTTTGGCTTGGCTACACAAGGAGGATACTCTACAGCAGTGTTTCTCTGAATGTGTCTACGCTACAGGGCTTAACTTGAAATAAGCTATGCAAATTGAGCTACGTCAATTGCATATCTTATTTCGATATAGTTTATTTCGAAATAGGGAGCATCTACACAGCACTTATTTTGAAATAGAGCACTCTTCCTCCGACTTCCCTTATTCCTCGTACAATGAGGGTTACAGGAATCTGCGTAAGAAGTCCTCCAGCTTGACAGTATTTTGACACTGTTTCAAAATAACTGCCTGCTGTGTAGACGTGGACTAAGTTATTTCAGAATAGCACTAGTTATTTCGAAATAGTCTGTGGACCCACTCTGAGAAAGCTGGTACCAGGCCACTCCGGTTTGTTTATTTACCGGCTCTGCAGCCACAGAGTTTGCGGCTCCCATTGGTTGCGGTTTGCTGTTTGCAGCCAAGGGGAGCTGCAGGAAGCAGTGGCCCAAGTCATGCTGCTTCCCATGTCTCCCCTTGGCTGCAAATGGCAAACCACAGCCAATGTGAGCTGCTAGCCTCTGTGGCCCAGTAGCAGCTTTCTCACCACTTTGAGAAACACTGCTCCTACAGTAAGATAGGGTGTGAATTTAAAGTGCAGGAGCTTTTCCAGAAAAGATCTTGGTGTGGATACTCTTATTCCAGAAAAAGTTTGCCTTTTTCCAGTTTATTTTGATCTGCTTCCAAAATTGATTAAATAATGAGAAAAAGGCATCCTTACTCCAGAATAAGCATGTCCACAGGGCCACGAAAGCTTATGCCTTAGTGCCCTAATAAATATTTTAGTTTTTAAAGCGCCACCAAACTCCTTGTTATTTCAGACTAGCTTATTCTGCTGTAGCTATTCTGGTCCATTTCTCTGTGGTATAAGCATCAGAGTTGAAATACGTACACATCATAATGGCACTGACTGAAATTCTGACAGAATGGATTTTATTAACTTGATAAACCGAATGCCATCCAGTTCACAGAGTGTAATTTTTTATATGACTTTAAAATAAATTATGGTACATTTAATAAGAGAATGAGTTTCCCTGGTGTTCTTGGCCAAATTTTTCCCTCTCATCTTCATTGTTGTGCAGTAGATGTTGATTTCCCTGGTGTGTGCAGTGGTGTGTGCATGGATAGGTTGTGAAAGTCTTTCAGAAATATGTAATGGTCTGCTTATTTGCATGTCATTGTCCTGAATACTCTTTCAGTTGCTGGCTGTTTAGTAGCAATGATAGTGTGATCAGCTTGGAAACAAATTAAAAAGTAGGGATGTAAAAAATCCATTAAAAAGGTAACCGTAAGTCCACTGAAAATCTAGTTTTATGACCATGCACTGACTGCTCCAGACTGCTTTTAGTACATATAGACATTTTTTTGAAAAACTGTTTACAAGAAATGGAAGTCCCAGATTCTTTGATATCAGTAACTAGTGTATGTCTGCTGAATCGACTACAGCAAGAGAAGAATATATTATGGATTGACGCTGAAAAATCTGCTCAGTTAATTTCATTTGCAAAACAGTGACTCACACGTTGCATGCCCCACTGACAGCATATTTAATCAACACAAAGTTGGCTATAAATTGTGTAGGCAGCTAGATGTGGACATAGGAATATATCAACAAAGTAGCTTTTTAGATTATCAATTATGTGACCTGGGGGATCTAATTAAAGCAATCACTCATAACAATAATGTGTAAATCTGCAAAGCTTTGTGGATGGATGTGGGTACCATGTTATAACATGTTTTCTTTAGGTGACTTTAACTATTTCAGTATTTTCAACCCACAACTTCAAAAATTGAGGACTCCCCCCCCACCCAAGGATTGAGATCCCTAGCTTTGAAATCCCGATCATGGTGTTTTTCATTTGTTTGTTTTTTAATCATATGTTTGGCTCTGTTTTTTTCATACTCAAACTTGTTAAGAAAACATCCTCTCCACCCAAACTTTACGTGTGAACCGGTGTCAGAGCGGAACACACAGGGCACCCACACAGATGAGATGAGGGCACCTTGATTCCTCCTGAAATGTAGTGTACTTTCCCTCGTTTTAACCATTCAGTTGGCATCCTTTTCTTCACTGGCCGTTTACTCCCTCTGCCCAACTCATTCTCCAGTAGCTTCCCCTTTGAGAGGCGTGGTACAGCCTATACCTCCATCTCCCTGACATATTCCAGCTCCTGGCACTCCAGTCCTGATGTCACTTCCCCCAGTGTATCTAGCATTGTACACATTGGGATAGACCGAGTGACCCAGAAACCCATAACCCTTATTCCGCCTCAGCAGACTCCCGCAGCAGACTCCCATCCTATACTCTAGCACAGCCTTAGCTCCCATCTTCCTTTTAGGCTTCAGCAAGTTTCCCCTATCCCAGCCTGCAGGAAAAACTCCTGTTCTGGGAGTAAGGAGGATGTTACCCTGCTGGGATCTCTTCCTATCTAAATTAACTTTGCTACCCCAGTGAAGTAGTAGTGGCAGACGAGAGACTGTTGCTGCCTACTTCAGTGGGAGAGGGCTTCTCTGGGTATGTCTACACTACAAATAAAAACCGGTTGGCTGGCCCCTGCCATCTGAGGCCGGCTAAGGGGCTGTTTAAGGGCAGGGTAGATGTTAGGCTTGGCAGCCTGAGCTCTGGGACCTTTCATCTTCACGGGCTCTTGGAGCCTTGGCTCCAGCTTTAGTCTAAAAATCTGTACCAAAATTTAACAGGCCCAAGGCTTGCAAGTCTGAGTCAACAGTATAATTGCAGTGTAGACATCCCCCTCAGTGTTGCACCAGCTCTGTTTCCCATTGACTAGCCCAACGTGCCCAGGAATTGCCTGCAGCTGCTGGGTTGCTGACTGTACTACAGGCTGCTAAAGCAAAAGCTGCAGGTTGCTAGTATGAAACCCTGAGGTGCATGTGGTTGTGCGCTTATTTACAAGCAGATGCAAAAACTGTCCCCAAATTACAATGCTCATAGTGTCTTCACAAGTACAGGTTGGACTTCACTGGTCCAGCACCCTCAGGACCTAAGTGGTCCCGGATAAGGGAATTTGCCAAACCAGGGAAGGTCTCCTGCCTCCGGCCCCCTCAGCCCCTCCCCACTGCTGGCTTATTTGGCTCTGCTGCCATCTGGGCGACATGGCTGCCCAAACCTCGCTGCCAGAGCTACTGCTCCAGCCTCAGTGCCGGCACAGCAGCATGCAGCCCTGGCCCTGGTGCTGCAGCACCAGCCCTGCTGCCGGCCAGTACGCAGCCATGATCAGGCTGCTGATCTGCTGTGGCCCGAGATGGGCTTCACCCGCTGCGCTGCCGCGGCCCGGCCTTACTGTCCCCACTGCCGGGCTGACACGCTCAGGGTGTCGCGGCATAACACTGCTTCTGGGCTGTCACCTATGGGCTGCCCCTGCTCCATGGTCCTGCTACCGCCGCAGGTCTGCTGAGTGCCTGGCCCCATTACCACCAGCTGCGCCTTCTGCAGGACTCTCAGCTGCTGGCCCTCCTGCCCTGGGTCTCTCTTGTTCAGCAAGATCCGCAGTCCTGCCGGACCACACATGTTGCCGGACGAGAGAGTCCCAGTTTAGGGAGGTGCAACCTGTATTATAGCTCGGCTTTCTCTTTCCTTGAAACATTGTTCAAGTCCCAGTTTAGGGAGGTGCCACCTGTATTATAGCTCCGCTTTCTCTTTCCTTGAAACATTGTTCGTTATTTAGTGTGATTTTTGGTAGGTTTATATTTAGTCCCTTGTAGGCAACAATTTAGAGGGCTTTTTGGGAGATTGGTACTTCTTGATTTTCTTTGTGACCTGCTCATGTCTGTTTTCTTTCTTGTCTGGTCAGGCTATCCTGTCTGATTAGTCAGTAAGGATTATTTAAAAACTGTTTGAGACCTGAGAATATCTTCATTTCATGTCTCTCTTTTTGCCAACCTACCATGTAGCTGTGAGAACTGCCTGCCGCTCCAAAATACTACCAGGTCTAGCTGAATTTACCAATCAGGTGATATATTCTCTGTGTTGGCCTATGGCAGAGTGAGCTAAGCACAAACCAATTCATGCAAACAGGCCTGCTGCTCCTATATCATGAACGACAGATCCTTGGAAGCCTGTGACCTAAGGTCCTAAAATTGGAGGCCATCCCAAAGCTAGGGCCTAGAGCTTAGAGCTCCAGGGATCCTCTCTTAATCTGCCACTGCATGTCAGGGAAGTCGCCTCTAGCTTCTGTGAGATAGGATAGGCCATTATTTTTTTTCTGGGGCATTTATTCTAACTCAGAAACAACTTTATTTCACATAGCTGAGATTCTTAGCCGTTTTTTACAGGACTGCTACCCTAAGACTCTTGCTTAAGACCAAGACTCTTGCTAAGACTGTTGTGCTAAAATGTCTTGTGTCTCAGCGGGAAATGCAATTCTTTGTGTGATAGGAGCTGATTGTACTTTAACTTGAACCACATAGTCTATTGTGGCAGCTATAAAACAACTTTATTTCACATAGCTGAGATTCTTAGCCGTTTTTTACAGGACTGCTACCCTAAGACTCTTGCTTAAGACCAAGACTCTTGCTAAGACTGTTGTGCTAAAATGTCTTGTGTCTCAGCGGGAAATGCAATTCTTTGTGTGATAGGAGCTGATTGTACTTTAACTTGAACCACATAGTCTATTGTGGCAGCTATAGTTTGCAGCCTCCTCTAATGCCTGCTGTATTCCCCAGCAGACAGCATGATTACTTAGACTGCTCTGGAAAGAGACTGCAGCTCTGTGGAAGTACTGCAAATTGCTGTTTATACATATATATGGCTGTAATATTGTCTCCCTAGCTTTTAGTGGTAGAAACATAGTTGGGATGCTTTGAAACAGAATGAAATGCTCTTCAGTTTTAATCTCCCCAATTAATTTCAGGAGAAATTAGCCCATCGACAGCAGCTGAATGAGGCAAGACAGCAACTACTGCAACAGGCAGAATATTGTACAGAAATGGGAGCTGCAGTCTGTACTTTGTTATGGGGTGTCTCTAGCAATGAGGAAGCAGTTAAAAACATTCTAGGAGGGGTAAGTACTGCAGAGGTATACATTGTAGTGGGAATGCTTAGGTGTTATAGGTAGATAACTTGCTGTGAAAACCATGACACACAGGTGTATTTCAGAAGCTTCAGGGGGTACAAACCAATTCTGCTAGCCAGATCCACAGACAAGCATTGGAATTAGAGTTCATCCTCAAATTCAGTTAACAATCCACAGACAAGCATTGGAATTAGAGTTCATCCACAAATTCAGTTAACGTGCTAATGGACTCAATCCTGATGGAAGTTGGTTGGGACACTACCAATTTAACAGCCATTGAAGGTGCCAACAGCTCTTTGTATAGACTCATGTCAGGAAGGATATTATCTATTGACGTTGATTCTTATCTGCTTCATTTTAACTACCCAATCTTCAGATACTTACTGATTCCCTCTAGCTCCCTGTCTCCCACCCTTCTTCCTTTATTCCCCCCTTCCCCTCCCCTTTCCTATTTATTTTGGGTGTGCACATCTTAAACTCATAACTCCAGTCATTGAAGAAGTGGGCTGTGCCCACGAAAGCTCATGATACCATCTACATGTTTTGTTAATCCATAAAGTGCTACCAGATATATTTCAGAAATTGAACATACAGCAAAATTATTCTCTGAATTGTTTATTCTCTTTGGACTATCCACATATAGAGTCTATAAACTGTTTAATGTATAGAAGCAGGGAACTTTTTTTTTTTTTTGCACAAAACCCCTGTTTTGTGCAAGATCCTTATGCCTGTCCCAGAGAGGCATAAGGATCTTGCGCAAAATGGGATTTTTGCACAAAAACAAGTCCACACTCCTCCTTTTGGCGCAAAAACCCTTTGCGCAAGAAGAATTGGCAGAAAAGATGCTAATGGGATCATGACTTATGCTGCTGGAAGAACTCGCAGTGAAGACGTAGCCTAAGACTCTAAACATGCTGTTGCGTGAAGAGAGTACGTGTGTTCCCTCCCCTCCCCCAGCATGTTGCAGAGGGCTCCTTGCAGTGTCACTTCTGCCTTCTTGATTATCTAAACTCCTGAATATCTAAACAAAATTCATGCCCATCCTTCTATTCAGATAACTGAGAGTATATTGTGTAAGATACATTTTAAGTACAAATTTATCATTCAGTAGATGTGCAAAATGAGTGTAACTTGCACAGCTTTATTTTATACTCTTATCAGTTGCCTTTTCTGCTGTGCTGCTTCTGTCCCTGCCATATTTTAGTTGCTCACTTTATTATCACACTAAGTGTCAGATGAGTGCAAGTTATACTACTTTACCATTTTGCCAGTTATCTGATCAGTTTGCTCTCAACGTTTAACTTTTGCTACCTTTTATATCATTGCGGAATTTGGCAGTTAAGTTCTAATACTTGCTGGAAGATGTGTTTCGTAAGGGAGGAGTTCTGCAAGGGTCAGTAAACTGTGGCATGTAAAGAAATTTGACATATACAGTGAGGTAGTGATAACACTTGTATACTATCATATGTTCCTTTCAATATTACTTAGTACAGTCTGTGAAAAGTGATTTGTTTTCCCTCCGCACTTGCAGAGCAAAGCAGTAAAGTTTTTCACGATCACTGGACAAACTTTGGAGAGCTTTGTGAGGTCACTAGGTGAAGATACCAAACACCAAGATCTGGATTCTGATGAAAATCAATTTGTATTAGCTTTGGCAGGGATTGTGACAAGTAAGTCAGTTTGTATAGGTCAGTTTTGTATGTCAGGATTGTATTCCACTCTGTAAGGAGCATATTGTTCAGTAAGTATGATGAGGCATATCTAGCCGTTTGACTAAATAACTGATTATTTAAAATGTTGGTATCTTGTGTGAATCACCATTCTCTTCAAGTTCTAGACAGCTTCATTGTCTTCTAGCTGTGTTGGTTCTGCTATGTTAAGTAGAGTAAAAAGTGATAAAACTTTCTTTCTCATTTAAGTTGGTAAACATGACACTGATTTCACCCTGGGAGCAGATTTATTGGATTTTAGTTTCTTTCTCACTATAATCATGCTTTGAAATCAGAAGTTTAGACAGGGCTTTTGCTTTTAATATAATATTAGTAGAAGACATAAGCTAATTATCTCAACTTCCAGAAGGTATTTATTTTTCACAAATGGTTATTAAGGAAGCCAAATATCCTAGGGTGAGAAGTAAAAGATAGGAATCCAAAGAACTAACTGTGTTTGTTCTTGGCATGAAAAAATGTTAAAAACGCTGGAATCAGCATCTTGAAACAGGGCTTAACTATTGAGATGGAAGTATTTGCTTAAAACACAAAATTATATAGTCTAAACTAAAGAGTATTGTGAAGAACTACAGAAAGAACTAACAACACATAAATTATTCATATATAGTAGTGGTCCTAAATTTAATAACCCTTTTTTGGAGTCTGATGTGATAATGTAGGTGATATTATGGCTAGTTCAATTAAGATGTCTCATAAATGTGAATAAGATGAAAGCCTGTATTTAGGATAATATAAAAATATTATGCCTTTCTACAAATTAAAGGTGTGATTTGATTCTGCCTCAGATTACTTCATTTATAAAAGCATATCAGAAATAAAGGTCCAGAGACTGACAATGAAAATGTTTAGAGGTCTGTGGAATGAAGAAGTCTTCTATTGGAGGACAAAATTTAAAAAAAGTATTGCCAGTGACTTCAGTACTGCTGAGATATCACCTAGTATGTCTACTTAATTTAGAACAGAGAATGTTTAAGGACAAATATGGTAAAGGATATGCTATAATGAATGATTGAACCTTAATCATGGTTTTGCAACCTTAACATTTTTAAGGTGGGTTTTTTTCTTAATAAAAAATGTGATTCTTTAATATTCTAACTCAAGGTTTATTAGCTAAGAAAAAGAAATTAGAGTTATTGAAGGTTAAAGCAGGTAAAATACATTAATAGGTGAGTCCAAGTTTGTAAATTCAGATTGATAGCAGAGATGTAGTAATCTGCAAGTTTGCACTAAGTCTCTTTGCGTTTATCAAAATAGTTCTGGGTATCTCTGTACACTTGTTCAGTATTCTACCCTGTTAGAATTCAAACAATTCAGAGATTCAGGATTGTTCTCTGGATCCATTCTAATTGCTGTCTTCCCCGGAAACAATCTGGCAAATGTTTCCATCACAGAACGGGCTTGTGATGGACCCAGCAGGGTCCGCACTGACCCTGGTCGGGGGACCATCCCTCCCTTCCTCCCTCCACCCCTCCCGGCTCGGGGAGGGCAGGCTGGTGGCGTGAATGGCTGGAGCAGCCCCGGCCGGGCTCAGACCAGGTGCAGGGGATCGCGCGT